GAATTTAGCCAATAATTCAATGTAGAGACATTGAAAAGGATATTTTAATTACTTGCTTCAGCTCCATTCCAATTCTATTCTGCCGTGTAACATTTGAACTGGTGCCAGGCAACCCACTGTGATTATTGCAGGCTGATGATAATATCTGCAACAGTTCCTGCCACTGTTGAAGTGCACAACACTAGCATTGTGCCATGAGATTATCCAGTCCTATCAAACTTCACTGTCGCCCCAATAAGTTGATCAGGCTTTATACTATGCTAATTAAAACTGCAGCTCTCAAATCTTCTAGAGGTGTGGATGTCCTCCTAAAATTGCCACTTAACCATTACCTCAAAATGAGGAAATTATATTTTAAAAAAGAGGAGTCAGATTTACATAAATTATGCACGAGATAGTAATTCAAAGCAGGGCTTTGAAGGTAGAAACAATTGCATAATTTAAGCAGCAATACAATTAATTTTAATGTTGTGTAATAGCCAGGTGATCTGTATGCCTGCTTAGTGTGAAGCTCTCCAGGTGCTAAAAGCTGCTGATAGACAGATGTAAGTAGGGGTGAAATCCAGCAAGTTTTGACAGATTCTGGAGAACCAATAGCGGAAATTTCAAGTAGTTCAGAGAACCAGTAGTGGAAATTTTGAGTAGTTCAGAGAACCAGCAAATACCACCTCTGTCTGGTCCCAGAATGGGGTGGGAATGGAGATTTTGCAATATCCTTCCCCCAGGAGTGGGGAGGGAATGGGGATTTTGCAGTATCCTTCCCCTGTCACGCCCACCAAGCTACACCCACAGAACCGGTAGTAAAATAATTTGAATTTCACCACTGGATGTAAGTTATTGTTTTCCTCCTTAAGGCCCTTGTTCTTTGAATTGAATATGCTGCTTCAAATATATACAACAATTCTGTGGAAAAGAAAGGGAGGGAGGAAGGGAGGGAGGGAGGGAAGGAAGGAAGGGAGGGAGGGAGAGAGGGAGGGAGGAAGGAAGGAAGGAAGGAAGGAAGGAAGGAAGGAAGGAAGGAAGGAAGGAAGGAAGGAAGGAAGGAAGTTTTCAAGAAGTGATAGCTGTTGTCTAATATTTTGGATCATTTGGGAGGCTAAGCAGGGTTGGACGTATTTAGTACTTGGAGGCTGTATATTAGCCTCAGAAATTAAAAAAGATCCTAAAAGTCAGCAGTGGTACATAATTTCCATGCTATGGTCAAAAGAACTGCATGGATGTGTCTATGAAGTCACCATAAGTCCAGCTTGACTCAAAGGAGACTTGACCTGACTTGGTTATCTGGCTCACGTATCAGAGGACATTGTCTAAGCAATCCTGTCTCCTGGTAAAAAGCCTTGGGTATAAAAGAGTCAACATATAAAAATAAATTATTTTCCTTGGCTCCACCCATTGCTTTTGGACTATAGCTCTGCCATATATAGTAAGCTCTTGGCCACCAACGCAACTGAAAATGTATTTTTTTCATACAAGATTCTCACAGAATCTTTAGCAGGATATATTGAAATTAAAGGGATAGGTTTGCAAGAATTTCAGCAATTTCTAATCCAGAATCAATTTATCCTCTAATCCAATAGGCAGAAACATTTCCAGTTTCTTTCTAGTGGATTCTTGTGAACTGGCAAAGGGGTAAATTCTATTTGTTGCTAATGGAGGAGTTATAATGTTGCCTCCTGAATCCTCATCAATCTGTAAACTAACCATTATAACACTGTTCAAAGAACAAATCTCGTTTTTGACACAAAAGTTTTGCATCTTTGGGTCGATTCATACCTGGACACAGAACTATGCTTCCATATCACTACAAACCAGAATAAGAAGATAATTTAAAAATCTCCTGGCAGACCTCCTTCTAAAGTTTGCCAAGAAAAGACGATGACAGTAGGTTATCGTAAGACTGAACCTCTTCTTATCTTCTAGTCTTTCCAGGCAGAGAATTATTTTTTTTCTTGTTTTGTCTTTTCCTGCCTTCTCTCCGAACAAGTCCCCCAATCTTATAAACGGCTGCTAGGAGGCACTAGAGCATTAGTTTTCCTGTATGTCTTTGCTGCCATCTTGTGGTCATTCAGAATTTTGTAGCCCAGATTTGGTCACTTTGTACAACTGCACACAACCTAGATAGTTATGGACTATATGCAGAAGACAGAGATGTTTAAAATACTTCACAAAAAATATTAGCAGGATTCTCTGATATTTTAAGATCTAATACCATCCCTTTGGGGATTCTTCAAATGTTCAGGAATTGGATTAATTTATCATTCTCTCCTCCGGTCCCCTTAATTGGCTTTCGCACCAGTGCTGATGCTTTATCTTGCTGTTGTTTTATAGTTCAGAGCAGTCCAATTCTCCTGGTTTTCCCCTTGCACTAATATTTAATTTTATTTCTTCTGAATGACTCATTTCTTGCTCAATCCCGGAAGATACACATTTACTTCTCTTTCTTGATTGGAAAGATTTTGTTCTACAGTGGAAAATATTTAATTAGGACTAATCTTGTATAATTGTTTCTTCAGATGAACCTGTCAGATGTAACCAGCTATAGCATATACAAATAGATATTGCATTAGTTGTTGCCGGCTTTTCTATTAGGAAAAAAGGATGAAGTGAACAAGCAATTTTTGAGAAAATGAATTGGCAAGACATGAGCGAGGAAGAAAAAGGACGACAATTCGCCTTCCTAGATATTGACAGAAGGAGATAAGATAACAGCAAATTAACAAGCTGTGTATGCCGAAAATCCACGCACACAGACCAAATTCTAAATTTCACAAGCAACCACCCCACTGCACACAAGAAGAGCTGCATCCAGACCCTTTTCAAAAGAGCCAAAACGCACTTCAGCATCAAGTCATTAAGAAAAGCAGAAGAGAAACACCTTTTCAATGTTTTCCTTCGCAATGGCTATCCCCAAAATTTCATAATATGATCCTTGTCATCCAAACTCTGACAAAATGCAACAGCCAACCACAACACAAACACAAGTCCTGCCATGCATCAAAGGGATCTCCGAAATGGCTGCCAGAATACTGCAACCCCTAGGAATAACGACAGCTCACAAACCCACATTTACACTCAGAAAAGAGCTATCTAAAGTCAAAGACAAAATACAGAAGGAAGACCGCAGCAACCGTACTATACAAAATCAATTGCAACGATTGTAACCAATTCTATGTGGGACTTAACAGGAAGGCAATTGAAAACAAGAGTTCATGAACATCAACTGCCAGTTAAACAGCACGACCAAAAATCCCTGATCTCAAACCACATTGATAATAAACAACACCAGTTCGATTGGGAAGGAACAAAAATCATTGGCCAGGCCAACACCTGCCCACACACATGAATTTATTGAAGCCTGGTATTCCACCAAAGGAGCAATTAACAAGCATATTGATCTAGACCCAGCATATGAATACGTAAGAAACCAGATTATTCGAACGACCAATCAACAAGGCAACCAATCAGCTGCTCAGAATTTAAATATAGCTCCAAACGAGCAACCAACCACACGACCAACTGACTAAACTGGCACACAAGACATTTATAAAGCTAAGGAAAATAGGACAAGAAAATCCTGCTAATGATGTTACCTAGTCTGGTAACGAAACTAAATTGAAACAAGCTTAGAGAGCCAACCACTGCCAAAATCTAAAACCCGAGCTACAAATATTTTCTGTTATTTCATAGCAAGACATTTCTTCGTACTTTCAATGAATTCAGATTTGTTCTGATGTTAGCAGAGAGTATGAGGGCCTTTGTTGTCTTACCTAGAATTGTAACATGATCAAATGGCATATGAATACTCAGTTCTCCATTCTTATTTCACCCCTTGCAAGGATCCCAATGCCAGTTGTTTACAGTAAAGAATAAGACCACACATTAGAATTGTGTAATTATTTTAGGTTTCCCAGTTAAAATTTCAGATATGATAGCAATAGCAATAGTATTTGGTTTTATATACTGCTCCATAGTGCTTTACAGCACCCTCTGAGCGGTTTACAATGTCAGCATATTGCCCCCAACAAGCTGAGTCCTCATTTTACTCAGAAGGATGGAAGGCTGAGTCAGCCTTGAGCTCTATCAAGATCACACACCAGGCTGCGGGCACAGTTTGCCTGCAATACTGCACCTACGCAATCAGAGCTCTTATATGATGGACTGTAGTCCCCATAACCCCAGCCAATTGAGTTATGGTGACCAGGGATGATGGGGTTTACAACTGAATACACTTTGAGGACACCAAGCAAAGTAAGGCTTTACTAACAAGTCATCTAAACCTAGAACTGATGGCTACCAGAAACCAAATATATTGTGGTATATGTGGTATATTAACAAATGCTTATAACATAGAACTGACAAAGAAGAAATTTCTGTACTAACCTCAATAGTGGTGAATAATGCTAGGTAGCATAAATCCAGTTCAAATTATGGTAATCCAGTCTCTTCTGGTAGTTCCATGCTAAAAATGTAAGCAAATTAGGAAAGGCCACAGTGGAGAGCAGGAAGGCGTCGCATTTTTAGGCACATTGTTATAACCTAGTTCCAGGTTAGAAAAGTGCCTCCAGCAGCCTCCTTGGAGAAGTTAATGGCTGTTTCAGAAGCCAGTGATAGGAAAGGGAGGAGTAGGGGCTCCAAATCCCTAGGATCAATTAACCAGTGGAAGAGCTTCCTCCGGGAATTATGGGTGCTCTATTATTTGAGGTTTTTAAGAAGAGATTTGTCTGAAATGGTATAGGGCAGTGGTTCTCAACCTGTGGGTTGGGACCCTTTGGGGGTCGAACAACCCTTTCACAGGGGTCGCCTAAGACCATCGGAAAACACATATTTTCAATGGTTTTAGGAATAATTTTATGGTTGGGGGTCACCACAACATGAGGAACTGTATTAAAGGGTCGCGGCATTAGGAAGGTTGAGACCCACTGGTATAGGGTCTCCTGCTTGAGCAGGAGGGGTGGGCTAGAAGATCTCCAAGGTCTTTCCCAATTTTTTTATTCTGTATTCTGACTCTTGTCAGCATTGCTTGATGTTCAGTGTTATTTTATTGAAAGCCCATAATATCTCTAGCTTCTATAAAGTAATATGAGTGGGATGTGGGGGACATTTTTCTCTGTTGAGCACTATATTTCCTTTGGGTTCATTTACCAGAAGGCAAGGGGGGGAGGTTTACCCACGCTATCTTTCCTTTTCCCCACTTTCTGTCTTATTCCCTTTTCCCCATTTCTCATTTAGCCGCCTGCCAGGAAAGGGAATTATCACTCTTGCATGAGACATGATTTATGAAGGACATAATTTGCCTCCCCGTGATCTATAAGAATAGGTAAAAATTGAGAGAGTCACTCCTCTCACTCAGTCTGATATTTTTTTCAACTGTGAAAATGAAGTCAACAATGAAGGGCCTGCTGATTTCAATCATGGAGGGTCTTTGGCATTTGACACTTGGTCTGAATTGATGGCAGTTGTACACTGGCTAACATGTTTGCTGATCATTTATTAAGATAGAGTAAACCTAAACTGGCAGTAAATTACTATGCCAACATGAGGACATTTTATGAATGGGCTGACTAAGCCACTTGCCTGTTACGCTGTACCATCTCCATTTTTGGTTTAAGATCACAGATACGAGACCATAATTCATAAACTATATGTGTCCATTCACCATGCTACAACTGCATATGGATACAAATGCAACATGACAATGTGCAAGAGTTCCGGGCCCCTTGACATAAGATTTTTATTGATTTCTACTATTAATATAATCTTTGAAACCCATCCATGAAGTGCAGAGCTAAGTCAGATTACCAAGTCAGCAGGACAATACAGGTGACTCAATGGGTTCCAGTTCAATTCTACAAGAGATGAGAAAAGCAACCGTATACAGGTGAGTCCTCTGTCTCGTATCCAGTTTGCAGACCAATTCACTTTTTAAAATGTATCATAAGCAAGCTATTAAAAAGTGTTTTGCCCAATGTTATAATAGTACCGACACTATTGTGATCTTAACTTGCAAATCAGCAATGATGCAATTCATGTTTGCTATCTACACTACTTCCATTTGATCTATTTTGATTGTCTGGATGGGTAAGCAGAGTGGAGACAAAGCTGCCTTCTCACAGCTGTCATCGAGATCTGCCGTAGCTTCTATGCCAACTGAAAGTACATAGAAACACCAGCCCTCCTCCTACTACTACCAGATAGACTCAGTAACCTATTGTGAAAAGCTCCAAGAGTTGGCTGCTGCCATCTAGTGAACTACCAAATTATCAGTTCCCAGTGTGTGCATGCACACAAACATATGTACCCATTAATGCGTGAGTGTGCATGTCAGTGGTGGGTTGCCCCCGGTTCGCACCGGTTCTATAGAACTGGTAGTAAAACCGATGGAAGGCTCCGCCCACTGACCCTGATGTCATCAAAATGCTTCTGCGCATGCGCAGAAGAGCGCACGCAACCCCGCTGCGAACCGGTAGTAAAGGTAAGTAGAACCCACCCCTGGTGCATGTGCTTAGAGAAGAACTTCAGTGATGTTTAGTGATATTTTATCATAATAGAGGTAGCTGGTATAAAAAATCTTGGATGCTGGCTTTTCTTGCCAAGACTATTAACTTTCTGATACTGTTCAATTTGTGAGGTCAAAAGTAGTTCTTAAAACTCTTAAAACTCAGCTTCTAATCCCTGCAGCAAGAAGACTTTCATGCAGTTCTAATAACTCATAACTGCTACTCAGGAAAATTTGAACCCCAAAGAATAATGGAATTTAAGGAGAACTTGACTAGGCTATGCAATCGAGGAAATCTCTATAATCATCCAGAATTGCCTCCATTATTCATTTCCCACCTTGCAGAAACAGTAACAATGAAAACAACAAGCACACTATTTTTATAGCAATGAATTAACAAAGTTGCCAAAGAACAAGATGGAACAACAGCCGTCAGTTTGGATGGCTTTATGAAAATATTAGAAAAAAATAATGGAAGATAATATCAAATTATTATGACATTGATTATATTATTACAGTGTTTGAGACAATACTCCTCTGAAGAACCTTGCTTAGAGGACCAAGTTCTCTTTTTACTCTCTTGTGAGTATCTCAGAGACATCCTGATTGGCTGCTGTAGGAACAGAAACCTAGAGTAAAATGGCATCAGATCTGATGCAGCCCAAGTCTTTCTAGGTACCTGAATACAGTTATGCAAATAAGACATTAAGACATTTTCCCATCATCTAATTTTCAATTATTAGGAAAAAAAACCTCCCATAACTGTTGGGTTCGTTGAATGGGTCCTTGGACACGTTAAGTCAGTATAGAGGGCAGCACAAAAGAACAAGCCAATATTGACATGCTTTGGGACTGATATGCATAAAGAACTTTTTCATTCACTTTCTCCGCTTAAAGATTTCCTCTCTGTTCTATCATTGCTACAATGTCTGAACAAGTAGGATGAGTAGAGAAAATTTAAGTAACTAAAAACATAAGCTGACATGGGGTAGACATGGATTCTGGCATAGTTTTGTATGAAGGAGTACTGCATAGGAGAAGTAAATATGTAATGCTTATTCATCAATTATCATCCATATGTGACTTATCAAGAATTTGAAAACGAAACAGAATAGTCAGTCTTAACCTGAAGCACAAACTATTGTACTTGTGAGGCTCGGATTAAAATGAAATGGAATTTAGAGTCATCTTCTAGCCCCAATTCTCTTTCATAAATTGGAACTTTGCTTTGCTTTGCTTTTTACTCTACTCTACTCTACTTTCATCAATCAATCAATCTTCTATTTAATTTTTTCCTCAGGAAAATCAAAACACTCTTGGCAAGCATAAAAGATATTTTGTTAAAAAAATAAAAATAACTCCCCAAGTGCAGAGCCAGGGATCTTTAGAGCTCTATAAAGCTATACTACCAGGTTCCTTCTTCACTGGGCATTCTGCCTAAAACTGTTGGAGTTGTAGTTTAGCAATGTCTGGGAGAAATAAAATGGTTAAATAGTGTTGGTTGCAAATCTACCATAGCTCTTTTTAATTCTTGTATCTTCTTCCAACTCAAATATTTTGGCCACCTAATGAGAAGGAAGGACTCATTGGAGAAGAGCCTAATGCTGGGAAAGATTGAGGGCAAAAGAAGAAGGGGACGACAGAGAACGAGGTGGATGGATGGAGTCACTGAAGCACTCAGCGTGAGCTTAAATGGACTCCAGAGGATGGTAGAGGACAGGAAGGCCTGGAGGAACGTTGTCCATGGGGTCACAATGGGTCGGACACGACTTTGCAACTAATAACAACAAAATATTCTTCCAGCTATCAGAGCAGTTGAAATGGAGGAAGATACTAATTTTCTGCCTTCCTGAGTGACATGTAATATCATTGACAAAACTAGAGTAGCATAGGTTTAGAAACATTATTTTGCTAAACCTTCACCTGCCTGAATTTAATTTCCAGCAATCACAATGATATGGCTGGGTGCCTTAGCAATATCGGCAGAGGGAGGAGGGGGTCAAGAAAGGAAAAAGGGACAAAACCAGCATCCTTTTGCAATAATGCAAGTCTCTTCCCTTTAATAAGTGCATTGTGTCGAGGCACATACACACACACAAAAAGGGAGGAGCTTACATCACTGGCCTAATGCACTTTGATGAAAGCGTCAGATTCTGAGGGCGTCACTCTGACACTCACCTAATTGTTTTTTTTAAATGATATTATATTATTTTTTATTTATATTATTGTTTATTATTTATTTATTTATTTATTTATTTAATTCAATTTATATCCCACCCTTCTCCTAGTGGACTCAGGGCGGTGCACAGCCAGAACTAAAACACATACCAATACAAAATTTAAAATTTTTAAAAGAATTATATAACTGTGGCCCAAAATTTAAAACATTCAAACTAAAACCCATTGACAATTTAAAAGGCTAAAAAAGGCTAAAAAGGGTGGGGGGGGAGTTCACGCCAGCCCTGCTTGATGGAAAAGAAAGGTTTTTAGGGCATGGGGAAAAACCCGGAGATCCGATATCCTTCTTATCTCCGGGGGCAAATCGTTCCAGAGGGCAGGAGCTGCCACAGAGAAGGCCCTCCCCCTGGGGGTCGCCAGCCGACATTGCTTGGCTGACGGCACCCTGAGGAGTCCCTCTCTGTGGGAGCGTACTGGTCGGTGGGAGGCTATCAGCGGCAGAAGGCGGTCCCGCAAATACCCAGGTCCTATGCCATGGAGCGCTTTAAAGGTGGTGACCAACACCTTGAAGTGCACCCGGAAGACCACTGGAAGCCAATGCAGCTCACGCAGGAGAGGTGTCTCCTCTCCTCCTTCTTATATTTAATAAACATTAAATATATATTATATTTAAATATATATATTTATATTAAATATATATATATATTAAATATAAACATATGTTTTAAAAATATTATTTTTAAATAGTAACACTACATTCCTTCTTACTCCCCAAAGCCAAGTAAACCTCTAACAGCCAAATCCTAATAGAATGTTCATCACATATATATGCAGCTAAGGTGGACAAACAAAACCTGCAGAAATCTCCAGTATACTGACTAGGTCTGTGCAGGATTTGAAAAAAAGAGCAGAAGTGGCATTGCATACATGGAAAAATCAAAGAACTTCCTTCACAACATTTTTAAACCATGCGCAGTCCTAACATTCACTTACGCCACTGGCTTGCATAAAGACTGCTCTTTTGTCTAAGCAGTAATAACTTTAGAATAGCTCAGTTTATGCCAGTCCCACCCAGTTTGTGCAAGAACAGTAAGCAGGCCAGTTTATAACAAAAGCTCCATACCTGACGTTGGCAAAGGGCAACAATTTTCATTCATTGCATTGAGGAACTCCCTGTGCTGACTCAGGAACAAGAAACACCAGTATCACCGAAACATCATCTCAGGCTGTGCCGAATGGCATCACCATGGCTACAACTAGAATTTATCCCACCACATGAAGGTCATTGTGAATTCCAATAACTGTAGTAGTTATGTCTTTAGCATCAAATTATACATAACAGTCTTATTTATATGATTTATTTTTAGTATTTTTAGTAAATACTAAAAATACTAAATTCTCCACAGAGAAATTCTCCACAGCCAGTTTGGTGAATTTTACTGAAGCCCCCTTTTACTAATGTGATTGTAGATACTTTACAGACCTTTTTTAAATTAAATGTTAAAAGCATTAACACAATATATTAGTAAGAGGAGGGGACAGGTAGTCCTCGACTTACAACAGTTCATTTAGTGACCATTCAAAGTTACAGTGGCACTGAAAAAAAGTGACTTATGATCATTTTTCAGAATTATGACCTTTGTAGCATCCCCATGATCATGTGATCAAAGTTCAGACGCTTGGCAACTGGTTCATATTTATGACAGTTGCTGGGTCCCAAGGTCACGTGATCACCTTTTGCAACCTTTTTGGCAAGCAAAGTCAATGGGAAAACCAGGTTTATTTAACAACCAGATTACTACCTTATCAACTGCAATGATTCGCTGAACAAGTGTGGCAAGAAAGATTGTAAAATGGGCAAAACTCCCTTAATAAATGTCTCACTTAACAACATAAATTTTGGGCTCAGTTGTGGTTATAAGTCAAGGACTTCAACAAAGGCAGTTAAAAAGAAGCAGGCTGGGTAACCAGGAATAGCTTTAGGAAAGCTATTCCAAAGCCAGGATGTCAACCTTGTATATCTTCTCATTGCCATCCCCTTCATGTGATATGGACATCTGCTGATGACTTAAGGGTATTTGTTATGGGAGAAAGCATTCCCTGAAATGCAGCCATAATTATCTTTGGTTTGCCTTAAATTTAAATCCTCTTCTGAATTTTGTGTACGTTAAAAAAAAAAGCACAATTTGGAATATGCAATTCAAAGTAGACAACTGCAGTGCAGTTTGCTCTAGCTATAAGGAAAGCATGGTCATCACAGGTGGTGGGAAATTTCACACTCTTCTGCTGGTATCCATGGTGATGCCAACACTTGCTACTGAAATAGTGCTTGGGTGATACCAGTGCAACATGTTCCTGAGGTGTCCATAGGGCATGGTGTAGGTTTCTCAACATGAGGCTTTGCTTTATCTTTTGAACAAAATCAGCTGGGCCTGTTTTGTACTTTCTGGACCACAGAAAATAAGGAGATTGGGGGAAGGAAGCCGGTGAGCAATGGGAAATTTCTACACAGATTTTTCTCACATACCCACAGGCAGAATAGCAGAGATGCACCACTATCCTATGGAAATGCCACCGGTAAATAAAGAATGTCCCTTATACAGCTTTCTCCAGTCTGGTACAAGTTTTAGAATTCCCAACCTGCCTGGACCTTTGCTGTAATGGCTGGGAATTTTACAAGCTGTATTTTGAAAACAAAACTGCGTTATAATGTTCTGCTGAACTGTTGCTTTCCCTTGAAGAGAGTTTTGAAGGATTTAAGGTTCTTATTTAACTAGTACATACTCTTCTTCCTCAACTTCTATTGCCCAAAGCTATGGTTTATATGGTTTCAAAATCATAAAGCTGCATCTTTAGCAATTGCATTCATATTTTTCCAATTTATTTAATGTATTTCTAAACTGCATTTCAAGATAGTGGCCCTCCTATGGTAGCTAGCCATTGTTAGCATATAACATGTAAAATAAATTGAGCAATATGATATCTATAAGCAGTTCCTAATATCTAGTTATATGACACTTAAGGTTTTGGAATATTACCAAAATGCAAATTGCTTATAAGGTGCAATAAACATGAATGAATACGAAGGTGCTGAGTCTGATGTCAATGCAGTTAGTTATTTTTATGTTTCAGGGAAAAACTCCTCTGGTGACCAAACTGGTGGTTGGAACCATCATGCACAGAATACAGGAAGCTTGAGTCTCCTCCTGCTCCTTAGTGGTCTTGTTTAGGTCAAAAATACAGAAAACCAGTAGATGGAAGCAAAAATTTGCAAAAGGGGTATGCTACCATCTAGTGGCCATCTGTGTTTCAGCAGCCAGGTAAGGTTTTGCCTCTTACCTTGAAGTATCATCCATGTAGGCCACAGGTTAAGGGTTTGGAAGCAGCAGAGAGATCTGTACAGTTCTTTCAAATGCTTTATAGTTCATGTAAACATATCCTCTACATATTATGACTATGACACTGCTAAGCATAATGTGCAACCATATTATGAAACCATACTAAATATGGACGTTAAGTTACATTTCCACTTTGAGGGAAGGAAATCTTTTGCCTGATTTTTGTGTTTGTTTTTACCATTATTACTAAAATGTAAACGAACGACTGCCCTGAGTCAGTCCGCAGAGCCTTCTCGTACAAGATATAAGCTCCTTATCCAAGCTTTGCATTAGGGATAATTTAAAAGGAACTGTGTAGGAAGATCTCCTGTTGGGTTTGGTGAATTTAAATTGCCAGGCGGGGGGAGAGTGAGAGGACAGGTAGGAGGATAATGTAAAAAAAAAAAAAATTAGTCGGAAGATGAATATCAAATCCTCAGAGACTCCTCACCTGGTTGACTTGGTTTATAAAACCAGTAAATACAGAACCACGCATTGCTGAATTACTCTCCAGGGATGCCTTAGGAGGATGGAAACAGCTTATATCACTTGCATAATTGCTTATGTAGAGTATTCCCCCTTCCTCAGTGGTCTTTAAGGAAACCAAGCTAGGATACTTGGACAGCAGGATAATTAACAGGAAGGGATGCCGGAGCTGTTCTACAAACCATGAGTGCAGCTATGAGGTAGCTTCTGGTTAGCCCTCTCTTTTCAAGCCTCTCCAAATGCCAAATCATTGCCATTATCTCTCATATTAGAATGACTATAAGAGTCCTTGGAAGGACTTACAACCATTGATTTAGTGACTGTTCAAAGTTACTACGGCACTGAAAAAAGGGACTTGCTACTGGTACTCATGCTAACAACCATCGTAGCATCCCTGCGATCATGTGATCAACGTTCAGGTGCTCGGCAACTGGCACATATTTATGATAGTGGCAGCGCCCCAGAGTCACGTGATCACCATTTGCGACCTTGCCAGCCAGTTTCCAACAAGCAAAGCCCATGGGGGGGAGGAGCCAGATAATGAGCATATGACTCACTTAACTGCAATGAGTTGCTTAACAATCACGGCACAAAAGGCCATAAAATTGGGTATGACTTATTTAACAACAGCTTTGCTTAACAATGGAAATTCTATTCCCAGTTGCGGTCGTAAGTTGAGGACTTCCTGTACCGTGACACTTGTGCATGATACAATATTAGATGAGGAAGACAAAATTCAGCTAGTCTTCGACTTACAACAGTTCTTTAGTGACCATTCAAAATTACAAAAAAGTGACCCCCATAGTCACATGATTTACATTTGGATGCTTGACAACTGATTCACATTTATGACAGTTGCAGTATCCAGGAGTCATGTAATCGCCTTTTGTGACCTTCTGACAAGCAAAATCAATGGGGAAACCAGATTCATTAACCACCATGTTATTAATTTAACAACTGCAGTGATTATTAATTTAACAAATGTGGCGAGAGAAATCGTAAAATGGGGCAACATTCACTTAATAAATTTCTCATTTAACATAAATTTGGGGCTCAATTGTGGTCATTGAGAACTACCTGTATGTAAAGCAGGCTATTAGCTATAACAAGCAGCACAATCGTCTGTGATAGTTCTTCCTAACTAACTCAACTGTCAAGTGGTCTCTCAGTGATCTACTGTTCTTTATTAAGAGCTATATTTATTATATCCCATTTCCTCTTAGCTGGAACAATTGTGTTGTGTGTGTTTTTAGTTCAGTATCACACTCAGGTATGGATGCAGTATATCCTCTAGGTCAATGATGGCTAACCTTTTTGCCGTCGCGTGCCAAAAGCATGGGGAGCATGGGGGGGTTGCGCACTCACGTGCCCACACCCATAATTCAATACCCCCACCCGCATCCCCGCGATGGCTAAAAGGTTACTGGTGGGCCATGAAAGCCCATTTTTCACCCTCCCCAGGCTCCAGAGGCTTTCTTGGAGGCTGGAGAGGGCAAAAACAGCCTTCCCCAGCCCCCCGGAGGCCGGAAACAGCCCATTTCAGGACTTCCGGTGGGCCCGAAAGGTCAAAAAATCAGTTGGATGGCGCAACACTTGCGTGCCCAGAGATATGGCTCCATGTGCCACCTGTGCCATAGGTTCATCATCATGGCTCTAAGTTATCATCAACTACGTTTTTCAAAATCCCAGTGTGCAAACTAGGCCCTGCATTAATAGGAACAATAAATATATAAGCCAGTCATCACGTGACCGGACCCCAATTTTATGAGAATTTTTACTGTGGTCATTAAATGAATCACACAGCCATTTGGCGACTCATGCAGCTATTAACTGAATCCATCTTCCTCAATTGACTTTGCTTGTTGGAAGTTGGCTGGGAAGGTCACAAAATACAATCATGTGACACCGCAAGACACTACAGGTAATCTTTGAATTATGACCGCAATTGAGTCCAACATTTCTGTTGCAATCTGAGTCAGTTGTTAAGCTTATTTTACCTCATTTTACGACCTTTCGTGCCACAGTTGTCAAGTTAGTAACACAGTTGTTAAGTGAACCTGGTTTCCCCATTGACTTTGCTTGTCAGTAGGCCGCAGAAACTGATCACGACCTCAGGACACTGCAGCCGTCATAAATATGAGTCTGTTGCCAAGCGGCTGAATTTTGATCACATGACCGTGGGGATGCTGCAATGGTCTTTAAGTGTGAAAAATGATCATAAGTCACTTTTTCAGGGCCGTTGTAACTTGGAATGGTCACCAAGTGAACTGTTGTGTAAGCCGAGGGCAACCTGTACAAGGGGTTGTTATGACAGTTGTAAACTTTGAGGACAGATCCTAATTCACTTTTCCGAGGCTGTCGTAACTATGTACTGACATTAAATGAAAAAAGCTCTGCATTACCTGTATATCAAAAGCATGAAAACATAACCAAGTTTTTAAAAAATCAACTCCACTCCTTTTACTGAGAAAACTGTTTAGGTATGAGGGATTGCTCCTCAGGTCTCCGGTAGTCATGAAAGACCCCACCATGTTTAACATCTTAGTAATGCTCTTGAGCTCAACCAACATGTCACCTTTCCAGTGCCATCCGCATTTCGATTCCAGAACAATACAGTAGTGGCTTATGTGGAAGCAGGCCAAGTTAGCTGTAGCACAGCCAGCAAACAAGGCTTAATATAGCACCATGAAACTGTGAGACATTATGGAAGCATCCTTGGGAGAAACTACCAATATATAAACAAGCTTTAACCCATCTCTTAAAAACTACCTCACATCCCTCCTTAAAACAGATCACATTTTCTGCAATGTGCTTTTGATTGTCATTTTCAACCTTGTAGATATTAATAGCCTTGATCCCAATGCCCACTTCTGGTTTGGAGCAGCATATAAGTCCCAGTAAAATAAATAACTTTTGGGATGTGTTTTACTTCCGCTTTCATAATCATCAATCAGCTTGTCTACTTGAGGGAACATTCCTACCCATTAAGGTCATGAGCAACCAAGGGATTTGACAATATTGTTTCAGAAAAGACACTCTGTTCTATTATTATGAGGGACGTGCCCTGGTTGAGATAGGTTTGCCAACTTCTGTAATTTTTCCTCCTCTGGTTTCTATCATATTGGATAGGAATTTAAGAGTTAAGGATCTAACAATGGATAATAAAAATTAACCTATATCAGTATTCCCTTCAGCTGCTGTCTGATTAACTGGGAAACACAGCCAACATCTGACATTTACATTCTCCTACCCATCATTTCATGGCACTGAAGAATTTAAGTCCAGAGCGATGAGGATAATGAGACTAAGAAATATGGATAAAAAGGTGCAAGATACAGAACTGGGCAAATGTTCAGCCAGGCCTCTTCCAAGATCTCTGAGAAAGAATCTGTCTATGGGGACAGAGGAAACTGGAGGCTAGTAGGCCCTCTGCCCCTGTGGTTAGTATTGCATGGCAGGAATGCTGTGTTTGCAGATTATGGTGTATCATCGAAAAGATCAAGTTAAAATGTAGTACAAGTAGTCCTTGACTTAGTCAATCAATCAATCAGAGATCTTCTAGTCCAGTCCCCTGTTCAAGCAGGAGACCCTATGCCATTTCAGACAAGTGACTGTCCAGTCTCTTCTTAAAGCACCCACAGCTTCTGAAGGCAACCTGTTCCACTAGTTAATTGTTAGGAGGTTTCTGTGACTGTTCAGTTACGACGGCATTGAAAAGTAATTTATGACCTTTTTTCACACTTACGACTGTTGTAGCATCCCTGAGGTCATGGGATCAAAATTCAGACACTTGGCAACTGGTTCATATTTATGACGGTGTCCCGGAGTCATGTGATCCCCTTTTGCGACCTTCTGGCGAGCAAAGTCAATGAGGAAGCCAAATTCACTTAACAACTGTGCCATTAACGTAATAACTGCAGTGATTCACTGAACAACTGGGGCAAGAAAAGTAATAGAATGGGGCAAAATTCACTTAACAAATGTCTCACTTAACAACAGAAATGTTGGGCTCAGTTGCAGTTGTAAATCGAGGACTATCTGTACAGATTTTGTATTAGTTGTGAAGTAACATAATTCCCAGCTACATTTAGTTGAATGTTGAAGCTTCTCTGGGAAAAGGAATGATCGAACAAACATTTGTGATAAAACCTAAATCTTCTTCAGGCTATCAGAATACAGAGAATTAGAATACATTAGAACTTTATCTATAGACTTGGGGTAGGAAACCTTTTAGTTTTGCTAAACTGATCACTGTTAAATCAATTCCTCTGTTCCCACTCCCAGGATTGCATTGAGTTGGCATAGAAACCACATCAAGGCTAGACAACAACAGCAGTTCTACAAGCACCAACCCCCCCTCCCAAACACACACACACACACACACACACACAAAACCTCAGGAGAATAGGAATAGCTCCACCAAAGAAAGACTTGTGTAGGCTTTGAGCAAGGGAGGGAGGGAGGCTGAACTCACCTGGAGATTAAAAGGCAGGGAAGTCCTTGAGGACAAGGACAAGGCAAGGTACCTTCTAGATAAGGACCGAGTTGGGGACTATGTCTATTGCACAACCTCTGCTACAGTTTGAACTCCTTCAAATGGGAAATACCTTTAAATTTCTTTGTTTGGGGAAATTAAACTGGAACACAACTCCTTGGGATAGGAGCATGTCTGAATCCAGAAAACTAAAGTACAATGCATACAAGAAGCTCCTTAGGGACATACTCTGCCCCTCCCCACTGAAAGACACAGGTTGAATTCGTATTTCAATCTGAGATGTAATTTTGCTAACAGTAAATTGCTGCATAAGCCACAATAAACCCCAGGGTCTGAGTTCACACTTGAGCTTTGTGAAACCACATCATAGCCTATCATCCTATTCGAAGCAGATGTGATAGACTGGCAGTGAGAGCACTTTTTTTTCTGGCCCTCATTTGCATTTCGGGTTTGACCTCTATAGAAAGCTATTGAAGTTGGCAACCCTACTAACATACCCAAGAGTAGCAAAGCTCTGGGGTATGTTAACATCTCTATCCCTGACACACATTCTTAGACTGTAGAGAGCCATTCATTCATTCCTTCTGCATAAATATTCTCTTCATCTTTTAGCTCAGTCTCCTGCTGGAAGAAAAACACTAGGATGTCATGGTATCTCCAATGTTGCAGCTACCCAGAAATACAGTATTGAGTTTGGCTCCTAACCAAGGTACACAAGACATTAGAGGAATGAAGGTATTACGAACTTGTCACTACCTACCCTGCTTCTACCTTCCCTGTTTTAAGGAGCTCCCAAAAGGAATTCAGCCAAATTATGGCCATGTACAGAAAATGGAGAAGACAGAACTTTCCTGGAGGCTGAACAACACTTTTAATTCCACCTGAGTCATCAAGAAGAGTATGGATCAGGAAATCACAAAGCGATTTAGCTAAGTCCAAGCCTGTTCTCTAAGGCCACGTGGCACACAGTAGTGTTTTCTCTTCATGGGCTTTGCAGATTTGGTTTTCATTAGTTCTTCTCATTTCTGTTCTTACTGGCAGAGAAAAAGCAGAAGCATTCTTCCATCTATTTCCCCAGGCACTGAGCTGTATTGTAAACCAGGGGTGGGTGTCTAATAAAGCCCTTTAAGAAACCCCATCTGTATGATACCCAGGACACCACCAGAGCAGGACCTTCAGGTGCTCCCTTGCCATTTGCTTGAAGAAATAAAAAATAAATGCAACCCTCCTGGAGCAATTCAGAGGTTAAGACACACAACTCAATGTTCCTTCACAGTTGTAGTTATGAAGAGCTTAGAGTAAGACTGCCCTCTGGTGAACAATGCAAATACAGCCATGATCTTGTCCAACCTGGCAACAGGCAAAACAACTTTTAAGTCCCCTTCATTGTTTAACTACCAGCCCAAGGTAAATTGAATACTTTCAAAATCAATACGACATGATGGGGTATTATTGATATATGAATCATCCATTCAAGGGAAGTCTATTCAGCTCACAGCCCAGCCTTCAAGTGTTAACAATTTCCTATATTCAGGAAATTGAAGGGACATTCAGGTTTTCTGTGAGAGGAGAATCATGCAGGTGGCATTGTCTCAGTCTGCTCTTAAGCCCAGCTAGTAACTCACAAAAGTGAGAAGTGGCTCTGTCATTAAAAACAAAAAGTAAGCCCACTGCCCAGATCAATGAAGCTGAGGAGGGCAGAAGCCATCACAAAGCCCTCTGCTATGACTGAACTCATTTGTTTTTGAGAAGCTCTCAGAAGCTGAACTTATGTTCAGACTTTTCATGCTGTGGGACTCTGGAGGCAAAGGAAAAAGCAGGCGGCCAGGGAAGCATATGAAGCATAAACCCTTAGCAAGCCATTTAGACTTCTCCCCCAGCAGGAAACAAGACTTCTTTCTTCTAATGAACGAGCCCATCAGCCTTGCATTATTCCCCAGTGCCCAGGCCTATGAGCGCATTAACCTCAAGAGCATACTGAACATGGAATCAACTTCTTGAAACTCCACTAGCAGCCTAACACAAGAAGCTGGAACTACTAATGGAAGAGATGCTCAAATCTTGGCACACAAAACCCACAGATTTAACAAGGTTCGGAGATTCCATCCTTGCCAAAAGAAAACAGCCTTTCAGAAAAGCCAGTGTGAAATGAGTCAAGAGGAAGGCCAAGAAGTTCCACAGAAGTTCTTTCCTCTGGATAGCCGAGCAGTGACAACATGCTCCAACGTGTATCAGGAACTGAAAAAGAGAGAGCGAGAGACAGGGAGGCTCCGCTGGCATCTGAGGCAGGTCTGTAGCTGAAATCTGGTCGCAGAAAGCATTTGGCTTGGAAGGTTTAAGAGTCACCGTTTAATCCCGTTTAAATTACAAAAAGGAGGAGTGTGCACGCTACAAAATAACCTTGATATGGGAACATTAACCAGTTACAGCTTCCATTCTGTGCAGAAAACCTGCTCCAGTATGGCTGGGTAATGCCAGCAGGGAGGCCTCCTATACCCCAGGCATGCTGGGATTCCGAGATTCAATGCAGGGATACCCCGCAGGTAGTGGAGTTAAGATGCAGCAATCAATTCTGGCTTTGGTTTGATTCTGATGGGCGATTTTTCTGTGGAGAAGGAAAAACACACACAAAGAGGAAGGAGTTATTGGTTTGAATGGTTTTAGAGTCAATAAATCCTAAGCAGCACATCCTGCCACTGACATACACCCAGAGCAACTTTTCAGGATCTGACATAGGTTCTCTTTGCCTCCTGCTCCTACAAATACTCCCTCCAAAGTGAATGGTGAATTCCCCTCTGTTCTTCCAGAATGATCAGATATGTGTGTTTGTGCTTCACATTCTTCAGGAGCTGCATTAATACCAGCTTTTTTTCAAGGTCAACTAACAAACGAGGCACAGTGCTTGCTGAAATGCAACCTCCTCACTCCCTGCCCCAATCTTTCTGAATAAGCTATGCTTAATTATGAGTGCACTCTTCAATTCTGGCCTCAGCGGATAAATCATATTCTCCCAGTGGGCACCTAATGCCTTTTGAGCTTCCTTGACAAGGCATAGACGTTCATAGAAGAACATGCCAATCAACTGGGCTACATTGTGCTACTATTAATCATACTGTGAATGCAGAATGCAAGTGGCAAGAGATGCTGTAGCACAAGCAAAGCAACGTTGTGGTTGTTTTTGAAAAGCCTATTCTTCTGTCCAGTTTCACTGAAAGCTTTCTTCTGATTCTGACTGATCCTCCCAGGTCTAGCCCATTTAAGGGAAGGATTAGTCAAACCAAGAAAAGATTTAAATAATAAACTCTGTAAATAAAAGCCAGATCTTGCTGCTTGCTAGAAGAGCTATCTATTTACATAGGATATTCTATAGTTGGGTATCTCTTATATATTTGCTATTTCTCATATTTATATACTGCATGCTCTCAGCAGAGCCAGCCTGTGATACATTCCACAAATAAGTACTAAAGACAAAATATTCCAAATATAGTAACGTTTTATAAAAGCCTAAAAAAATAATCAGTTTTCCCCCTCCCCCACCAATAACAAAACAATCTGAAATCAGTATTAAAGATCATAATGCATTCTCTGGGGAAAAATGAAAGAGCAAAAACAGATTCTAATTCCCCCCAATTTCCCTGGCCTCTCAAAAAATGTCAGAAGGAAGCAGCAAAACTATCAGGGAAAAGAAGCTTCATAGCACTGGAGCCAACACCACCATTACAGATTCCAAAAAAAAAAAAAAACACTTCCCAGAATGGCACATACAAAGGACCTTTATCTGAAGAATGCAACTCTGAGCTTACAACATACACAGGAAATCTTCCCTTCAGGACAGTGGGAGTCAAGCCTTTCAGAAATTTAGTATCAAACACCTTGAATTTGATTCAAAAATTTGTTGGCAGGCAGCTTAGCCAGAATGGGTCACATGCTCCTGCTAAGATACACCTGAGAGAAGTATGGCCACTGCCATTTGGCTTGGAGGCCATTTCCAATTCTCCTTAAAGAACACCTTTTACACTGAGTATGTCGTAACAGTCCATTTGATAGGTAAGCAAAGCAAAAACAATATGATCTCTCCAGAAAAGGTTTGAAATAGTAAATCATAATACAGGTTAGAAAAGATGCTCCAGACCAGGGGTCAAACTCGCGGCGTCATGTTGTCATCACATGACATATTGCAACTTTCCCCCCTTCTCTAAACCGGGGGTGGGAATGGCCAGTGTGTGACGCATCTGGCTCACGTGACACGAGTTTGATACCCCTGCTCTACACCACTTCATTGATCTATGTATTCAAGGATGGCACAAGGCCCAAGAACCTGTCCAATAAATTGTAGATTTACTCCTTCAGGAGGAAAAAAAAGATATTAATGTAAAATAAGAACAGTCCCTCCCAGTCGTCTGAGAACTCACCAACTACCAAGCCTCCTCAATTTTAATCCGTTGCATTTTAGATAGACTATAATCTGGTCCAAGCAAAACCAATTCTAAATACATGTGCTTTCAATCTATTTTCGAGAGCACCAGGTTTGGGGCATGATCAAAATTACAATTAACTTCCTAAAAAGAACAGGAAACTGCTTTGGGAGTGTGTACTTGGTAGTTGACATCTTGTGCTATAGTTTCAGTTTGCAAGAGGTACTTCAGAATATGTAGGAGTGCAAATATGGCACCTGCTTATGACTCATTTAAGCAGCTGTGTTGTTTTCCAGGACCATACAATGGCAGCTATTGCAGAGAAGCCTTCCCCTGTTGCTATATGATCCTGAACTCAGATGTGGCTGTTTTAATGAGTCATAGACTAATACTACATTTGCATTGCAAATAAAAACTGAGGCAGGTTTTTATTTGCAATAGGACAAGGTCCCATTTTTCAGTTCTCATCCTTTTCCTTCCTACTTTCATTCTCTACAAATTCACTACAACACCATTTATTTTACATTTCAGTATTTGCTTTCAAAAAAAAAAGAGACAAGCAAATTGAACAAAAAACAGGAGCCAGATGTTTTAAGACACAAATTAGAATTAACTTAATTTTTTTAATTAGAGCTTCTAGATTTTAGTCTCTCATAGCAATTCAAAATTAGGTAAGAGATAGGAAAACAGTTAACAGTTTTTAGATAAGCAAAGTATTACTTTTAAAAGGTTATTTATGTTCTATGCTTGAAATGGGAGAAGCACTTGAGTATAACGTAGTGAAAAAAATAACCTCTTGTGATGTCTATATGGTATATACCAATATGGTATAATGATTAAAGTGCAGGGCTGAGACATGCCCAAGTTCAACCTCCATTGAACCATGAATTCACAGGATGACTGTGAGCTATGGTGACACTCTCATATTAGAAGGGTTGCTAGCAGAGTAAGATCAATAGATCTCCATGCTGCTCCTTTGAGTTTCCAGAGAAAATATGGAATGTAACAATAACATAGGTAAAAGAGCTACAGCTATTGCAAAATAGTAGTTTAGAGGCTGAGTATGTAAGGCCCAGAACCAAATGAAATCTAATATAAATGAAAAATTCACTCATTTTTCAGCTTTCCCCTTTGTCAAGATTGGGCTAATACACCACACCAACTTTCAAGGTAATTTACTAATTGCCACCAAGTGGTACAAACATTAAAACTACAAACTCTAAAGCTCTGCATAGATTATAAAATGTTCTGTAGATTTCATTTCTGTCTTGAATGAAGTATTTATTAGTCATAGCCAAAGACCAAGAGCCGTCTTTGGCTTTGCGTACAATGGCAATATCAAAAGGAGAGTATAAACTCCAAACAGATAATACTACCTGAAATCCTTTCTGGGAGAGGCTCTGAGGGAACCTCTGGAAGATCAATCTGCTCCTGGAAGGAAAAAAAAATGGTTCTTTTGAAACACATATTCTAAAAACAGGAAACAACTTTATAGTAACTGTAGAACTTTTAAATGCACAGGAAATAACTATGTTACCATCAGTCTGCCACTTCTAGAGTTTTGAGTCTGTATTATTTATACTATGCCTCCAACACCTTGATGGGTAATTCTGGTTAATTTGGTTAAGTGACACTATTGACTCTTCAATGAATAAAGCTCAATTCACAAGGATTGCATGCGGATGAACATGTAGTTTTCTTGACATCAATAGAGAAATGGTTTGAAATGGTCTTTTTCACATCTACTGGTAGTTTATAGTTCTTGGAATTCCTGGGTCAATGCTATTCAATTTTTTCCAGATCTCCCACAGCTGGCTGGTTGATTACAATACCATGTCTATGGTATTGTATAGTGTGGGACATGCATAGACGTTTCTTAGGAAATATTGTGGATTGCTCAAATATAGCTATGGGTTCATAATAATTCCAATCGGATACATAGTCATCATTTTCTGTCAAGCAACAATGTATGGTTTCTCAGATACTATCCCTTCCTTTATCCCTGAAACTGCTGATAGACCCCACAGTAGAAGAACTACAGGGGCTTCCTAACTTGTAAGAAGGAATGACCAGAAGATTACTGAGGCACTATTTGTTTCCTTCTTTCTTGCTCACAGCAAGAAGATAAGATATAAAATGAATTCTGATTTGTATTTTCTGCAAATCACTTATTTCTCTCCTAGTGTGGGCCTGGTAAATATTCAAACATGAAGCCAATTTATAAGATATGCAGTCACATCAAGAATTACCCAAAAAATAAAGTAATAAATATACTAATGCCGCCAGATTATTTACTTTAATTTTCTTGGGCTAAATTCTATCAGCAACCTATAAAAATACTTAAGAGTTCTGAGTTAAAGTTCATTATTCATTGCAATAAAGACTGATAGAAATATGTCATCAGCTTTAAGGACTACATTATTTTGCTATTAGTATAGCAAACATCTTCTTTGGTCAGTTAAAACATGTAAAGAAGAATCAGAATTGAAAAAGCTCCTAATCTTTAGAAGGACCACATTTTCTCTAGTTCTTACTTTTGAATGTTGAACTGCTTTTGAATTCATGAAGGTAATTACAATTCCCAATATCTTCCGAATATCTTCCCAGTTCACCTTAACATATAAATCCCATCATTATTATCCTAACAGCTAGCATTTTCTACCCTGAATTTTAGTTACTGGAGTGAGATATTTATTGGCCTTCTCTCTGTACAAGATCATAATAAATTATTAATTATTTTTGTTAACATTAGCTGTTTCCCATCTATTTCTAACTTGAACACAAAATGTAGCACACTGGCAGTCATATGAATGCATACTTATTGTGGAAATAAAGCTTAATTATCCCAGAGTGAAGGACCAAATTTTGGAAAAATCCAAGAATAAATGGAAAATATTCTATCCTTCTATTTAAAGTGAACATTGAAGGATCAAGATGAATCCTTTGAAGATTCAGAAGGTTAATGCAAATGATATGCAGGTAATCCTCAAACAGTTCATTTGGTGACTGTTCTAAGCTGCAACAGCACTGAAAAAAGTGACTTATGACCATTTTTCACACTTATGACTGTTGCAGTATCCCTATGGGTCTGTGATCAAAAATTGGATGCTTGGCAACTAGCTTATATTAATGAGTGTTGCAGTGTTCCAGGTCATGTGATCACCTTTTGTGACCTTCTGACAAGCAAAGTCAATAGGGAAGCTAGATTGACCTAACAGCCATGCTACTAACTTAACAACTGCAATGATTCACTTAATAACTGTGGCAAGAAACACGGGGCAAAATTCACTTAACTCTCATTTAGCAACAGGAATTTTGGGCTCAATTGTGGTCCTAAATCGAGGACTACTTGTAATCTGAATATTTTGGCTGGAAATGCTGCTTCCTCATAAAAAGATACCATTTCAAAATACAACTCCTGAACTAATTCCCTGACTTGGCAATTGGTGCTTACCTGAGTGATGGCATCTAATTCAGCTAAAATAGCATCTTCATCCTCTGTAGTGAAGCTTCCAGACAATATCTCATCTATTTGCTGCAAAGAAAAAGGCAGACGGCTCGGTGAACACCGTGCAGTAACAGATCGCCAACATTTCAGTTCCTTCACTGACATAAAAAAAAATATGAGCAATTGTACCTATCTGTTTCAGCCTCAGCTTCAATACTCAGGACTAATTTAATACACGCTTCCAGGTAATATGGTAAGGTACTTTATGCTACATGTAAACAAGTATGTTAAGAATTCAAGGGAGTGAAGTGGTGGAATGCAAGTCATAAAAACACAATGCCTTGCACCAAGCACTGCAGAAGGGACCATGCAAGCCATACATACCCTCTGGTACTCTACAGCCTCCTGGGTTTCATCCATGATTCTTTCCACCTCTTCTATTGACATAACCTGTAAGAGAACCCCACAATTTTACATCAATAAGATGACTGGCAGTGGGATGCAATTTAAGAGAGGGAAGGCAGCTCCGATCATACTTACTTGATGCATTCTATTTAAACATTCATTGCCAATTTTGAGACCCTCAATCACTTTCATCTCAATCTGTGTGAATTCAATATCATGGACCTGTAAGAGAGAAGACAAGGATTACAGAATGCCATGTTCTATCTAAAAGTGTTAAGGAAAGCAACCTGAAGATGTTTGAAGACTACTAGTGAACAGAAGGCAACCTGTGGCAGCCTATTTCACTGGTTGACAGTTTGTACATTTGGATGGTCTACAGCAAGAATGGGCAATTAGTTTTCCCAAGGAGCCATATCAGGAACTGGGATTGTTGTGGAGGGCCAAACCAATAGGGCTGTGAAGGTGTGTAGCCATGGAAGGCCACATACTCAAATTGGAAAAAAAAAACCAGTAGTTGTCTTCAAAATCAAATCAAATCATGTGGGCTGGACAATGGCAGCAAAGAACCAGATGTGGTCCAGGGGCTGTAAAAAGACTGGATCTGGTCTACAGAATCCATGGATAGTAAACGATCAAGCAAAATAAGGAGCATTTCCTTAATAAATGAGTGTCTTGCTATGTCAGCAATAAAAGCAGAAGAAATCTAAGTTCTATAACTTCACTGTATGAATCAAATAAGGATCCTTATTGTTGGGGGAAATACGCTGACTCTGTAAACCGCTTAGAGAGGGCTGTAAAGCACCTTGAAGTGGTATATAAGTCTGCGTCCTATTGCTATCAGTGTCTACTGAATCAATAGGACTACAAGTTGTTCAAATTGATTTCTGATGCCTCTCCCCTTTTCTTGCAAAAAGGCACATGAACACATGAATGTATATATTATCAATTCTCCTTAAAATGCAAGGATGTTACAGTTGTGACAAGTTTGATAAGAGGGCTGGATGAGTGACAAAAAAAGATGGAATGAGGGACAGGTCTGCCAACATCATGTGACCATTAAAACAACTAATGCTGTTCAACGCTAGCATTCTGTTCTCAAGACAAGCAATATATACTTGTGCCAAGACCAAGGGTACCATGTATACTTGCAGATAAACTGATAATTTTAAGTATCAAAAATACACCCCAAAAATTGTGTTTGGCTTACCTGCGAACCGTAGCTCAGATTTTTAAAAGACCATCACGGCCCAACTGCACAAACAGCAGTCAAATGCCTAGCAGTACCTTGGTTAAAAACTCATGGGTTGGCTTATCTGAGGGGGACATATTTTTCATGGTATTTTGACTAAATTTTGAGGGTCAGCTTATCTGTGAGTATATACAGTACTCCTAAAGGAAGTTTAAATCACAGCATTTCACCATAAAAGTCAACGTGAATCCTGAGTTAAAGAAATCTTCTTATATTAAAAGTGAATTAAACTAAACACAGAAGCTTACATGTAAGCCACACTTCAGAAATCCTGAAAATAAAGTGACCAGATGCAATTCAAAAACCCAATCCCACATACCATGCGCTCTAAATTGCTAATTTGGTTTTCAGTTTTGTCTAACAATTGCTCTTGATAACGCTTCTTCTTTAGTAGAAGTTTGGCTTTCCTAGGAGAAAAAAGAGATGGATGAAAAAGCAAGTCTAGAAAAAAATATTATACCAAGCCATTTTTGTCCCAGCTCAATAGAAAAAAATAGTTTATTTCAGGGTTTGATAACTTGACAAGTTAACTAAATATCCCTGGAAAAACATATAGGTCAGTTACAGAACTAGTCTGGAATATTGCCTCTTATCAAGCAAACCTTATTTTTCACCATTATAGCCAACAAAACTGATATATTTATTCCCTAGAAATCTTTTTAACCCTTTAAAATGTTTTATAAGTGTGCGGCCATTATGTCAACACACTACAGTGATTAAATTACACTGGCTGTAAAACTGTTTCCAGGTATTTTTTTAATTTAAATTATTTAGTTACTGTAAAAAATAAAAATATAGAAATATAAAATCTTAGAAAATAACAGAAAAACACAATAGGTGCAATCACTCCCCCCCTCAAACATCCAATCCCGAAATAGCCAAATGGTTGCAAACATAAAAACTATTATTCAGTACAATCTCTCTTAAAAATAAAGTTTTTCATTAATTTTTGGAAGTTTGTTGATAAGGAAATGAGATAGGCCACCTGACAAGAGAATTCTGGAACTTAGGGGCATCTACTGAAAATACTGCAATCAAAAGGATTGTTGGTGGTCTAAGTGGTTAAGACATCAGGCTGGAAGTGGGAGACTGTGAGTTCAAGTTCTGCCTTAGCCATGAAAGTTGGCTGGATGCCTTTGGGCTAATCATTCTCCCTCCCAACCCACCTCACAAGGTTGTTATTGTGGGGAAAACAGGAGGAGGATATGTTTGGATATATTTGACACCTTAAATTATTTGTAAAAATAATAAAGGTGGGGTACAAATAAATATAAATAAATAACTGTATGTTAAAACTCTGTCCAGAAGTGGCTTACTCTTTCTTGCCATCTTTTAGTAGTTGACGAGCAACAATCCTCTCTCGGTCCAGCTGTAGAGAAATCTTTTTCTTATATTGCTTTAATTTGTCTCGTTGCTGTTTTAGTTGCTGGAGAAGAAAACAAACAGTTCATTAGAAGAAATATTTTCTTCCTTAAGAAGATATACCTGTGAACCCAGCAATCTTGATCTCCAATCTACTGTGCTGAAAACTACTGGAAAGTTAAATGAGTTGAAAGTTAAGCTATGCAAAGTTAAAGTCAAGTCACTGCTACTGGTTCATTGTTATAAATTGTATATTAAAAATGCTAAAAAAAATTAATGATAAGAATTATTGCCATCCCCTGGCATTCACACATTTCTGAATTTAAAGTCACAAGGATGCCTTATTAGAAACAGTAAGTTTATCATTCAGAACAACTGTTTATTTTGCTATGAATTCACTAATAAAAAAATTGATCCTCCAGATATTGTTAGACTACAGTTCCTCTCATATGGCTACTGACTGGAATTCAGAGGGTAACAGGTTCCCTCTTCTGGCTAATATTTTTTTTAATTGAAAAAATATGTAATTTTATTCCAACATTTCTTTCCATTCTGTATACAGTTTTAATATCTTCAGTTAAATTACGCCAAACAATGGTGATCTACTTAAATTCTAACGTAATAAATACAAATAAATGACAATTTTAGTCATATGGAAATATCGAAAAACCAAAAGTGAAAGTGGCTCACAATTTTTCTGCTGACAGATTCAGCACAGTAAGTAAATCTGTGCTGAAAGCTATTGACATATATAAAAAAGCTCCTCATAAAGTAATAAGGAACTCTGAAGTGTCATGAAACATTCTGATAATGCAATCCACTGTAAGGCACTCAGATTTTCTTGTTAAATTACGAACTGTGATTCATGGCACAGCATGTACTTTTGAGTATAAAAATGTTCCAGGTCCAATCCCTGGTTCTTTCAGGTAGGATTAGAAAATATTTCTGCTGAAAACTTTCACTACTTGACAGCAAGATTCTCACTGTAAAAACCAATACAAAGCTATATAAATGCATTGGTTTGGGATGATACAAATTCAATTTCCTACGTACTTTCAGTGGACATTAAGTAACTATATGAAAAGATTCCAGATTAAGAAATTGGAACATAATAGGTCAAACAAAGACCAGTTGTTTGGAGATTTCCCTTAACAAATATTTAAGAAAAGATCTCTTATTTCCTATCCAATAATCTTGCATTTTACTTTATGCATTTCTACAACCTGCAGAATTTCTCCATTCTACATATTATGTCCTTTTCTCAAAATATACCTTTACTTCCTGGTAGTTAAGCTACTTTCCAATTTATTTCACATTATTGAAATAGTAGTATGTCATGCTTTTTAACATTCAAGATATTCAGAAAAATTCCACAGCATACCCAAAGTATGACATTAATTCCAACTTCAAAAGGACTCAGCAACTTCAGGACATTTTTAAGATCATTGCAAAAGCTGTTGTAGCTTTGCAATGTAGGATTTGGGTCAAAACACTTAAGCAAGATTTCAAGCCAAGATTCCCAACTCCGGACATCATATAATATCCAGGGAGCTTCCACCTATCTACCAGTCATTGGCTTATGGCTGTGTTCCCACAGTGTCTAGGGCCAAAGGTAGGTGGTTATGTGATCACATATAGCTTGTTAGTCCATACTAATTTATACACACATTATACACACACACACACACACAATTATTTTATTATTTTATCCAACAAGCTATTGGTTGAAGCGTTCTGCCTCATTGCACTGACACGCCAAAGAAAGAAAATATTTGTAACCTCTTGTTATAATGAGGGGTCCTCTGAAGCTTGGCGGTTGCCTTGCAGGTGTTTCACTGCCCAAACTAAGGTAACATCATCAGTGCTAGTAACATCATCATCATCATCTAGCACTGATGATGTTATCTTAGTTTGGGCAATGAAATGTCTGCAAGGCAACCACCAAGCTTCAGAGAGCACCGAGGACCCCTCAAAGGAAAAGAGAGGTGGCAGGCCAGTATTTTGTATATATGCACGGGTGTATGCATATATATATGCATGTGTGTGTGTCTGTATGTGTATATATATATTTACACCCCTCACTGATAAGCAAGCTAGGAGAGAGGAAACAGTAGGAGTCAAGCCTTCATAGTCCAGCATGAGGACAGCAAAAACAACACAGCTGATTACAAGTGGGAGACGGCTGGAAGGGCCTATTACACACGCAAGGGCTAAATTGATTAATGGCATATAATCAAGGTTGACTCAGCCTTCCATCCTTCCGAGGTAGGTAAAATGAGGACCCGGTTTGTGGGGGCAATAAGCTGACTTTGTATAAAATAGAACACCGCTTTGGGGGGGGGGGCAAAAAGCCCTACTAAGCAGGTATATACAAAAGTATGAAGGCTATTGCTTAACACATTGTAAGCCGCCCTGAGTCTCTGGAGAAGGGCGGCATATAAATCAAACAAACAAACAAATAAATAAATATAAAGGCAGAGAGCTCTGTAATGGTAGTTTAATACTCTGACGATGTCAGCAGATGGCTGATGAAAGCTTAGTAAAATAAAATTTTAATTCTTTTAAAATTTTAAAATCTTAAATTCTGGAGTTCGCAGTATGTCTGCTTCTTTTTTTTACAAATATACCTGGAACTCGTATTTTTAGAATAGTTTGTAATATATATATATGTATGTATGTATGTATGTATGTATGTATGTATGTGTGTGTGTGTGTGTGTGTGTGTGTGTGTGTGTGTGTGTGTATATATATGTATATGTATATGTATATGTATGTATATATATATGTATATGTATGTATATGTAGGTCTTTGGATATATATATATATATATATATATATATATATATATATATATATATAACAAAGAAAATATATATTAAGAAAATATATATTACAATCTATCTATATATATATACATATACATATACATACATATACATATACATACATATACATATACATACATATACATATATATACACACACATAGAGAGTGACACACTTTTTATTTAAAGAGAAGAAGGGGGAGGGGAAAAAAAAGAAAAGGAAAGTGGAAAAGGAAAAGTGCGAGGAAGTCAGTGGAGGAAGTCGCCGCCCGTAAAGGAGAACAAAAGTCGCTTCCTTTCCCGCCTTCCTGAGTTGGACGCTTGTGCGGGTGCACCTCTCTCGCCCCCCTTCCCGCACGTGCCAGAAACCCCGGCACCCGGAGCGCTCGGTCTCTCTCTCTCTCTCTCTCTCTCTCTTTTTTTTTTTGCATTCGTTCCTCCGGAGGAGACTGGCTGGGCGAAGGCAGGCAAGGGGCGGGCAGAGCAGCAAAGGGTTACCCCGCAGGAAAGGCAGCCCTGCTGGGTCTGATGCCAGAGAGAGAGAGAGAGAGAAGCTGAAGCTGAGCCTGCCATTCCCACAACCTTTCCCCCACCCCCTTCCTCCCCCGTCCCCGCTCTCACCAGCACGGCCTTATCTTGCTCGGTAACGCGGGTCTGCCGCTTGCGACCGAACAGATTCCCCATCGCCCCGGCCCCGCCCGCGCGGCCTGGCCTACCTCGGCCCCACCCGTGCCTTACTTCAGTACGGAGGCCACCGAGGCTCTATTCTGGTAGAACGAGACCCGCTAGACTCGGAGCGAAATCGACGGCGGACTCGAGTCGCGGACTTAAGAAAATGCAGAGGAAGACTTCCCCCACTTTTTTTTTTTTTTTTTGGATAGCACACTTCCGGGACAAGTTATGGTTTTACTGGCACACTGAGGTAGGATTTCAACTTTCGATTCTCTAAGTATCTTTTCTCCCGCCTTCCGGGGAGGAAGTGACGTATCCCGCACCCTTTTACCGTAACGCATACTATATAAGGGAGTAGCTTCTCCTTCAGTTCGGTATTTTAGGGGTGCGGGTGAGAGGTGACTGTTCCTTTTTTTTTTTTTTTTTGGCTGGAGAAGGCGATTGGCAATTGATAATATCTTCGAGTGATGCATGCATTCAATTCCTGACACTAATCTAGGGCGCCCTTTATTCTTTGCATTCTTGGGGTTTTTCTTTTTATTGTTGTGAGACCTTCCCTATGAAAGAGGTTTCTACAGTTTTTGTGATCAGTTTCCTTAGTCTCAGTAGATTATGGATACAGGCTTAGCAGCGTAGCTGTGGTTGAGTATTACCCAGAAATAAACAAACAATAAACAAAACTTTTGTAGTTTGTAGGAAAGCGTTTCTTGCACATTTTAAAACCGCAAAAACAAAATTCCATGCGAATCAAATGCAGGGCAGCTGCATGAAGCCCAGTTGGTGGGAAGGGAGACTAAGGAAAATAGCGCTCTTGGTTTGATATTTGGATGGATCTTTGTCTGACATGCAGTCCACACCCACCTTAATGTGGTTCTAACAGTGGTGAAATCCATTTTTTTTACTACCGGTTCTGTGGGCGTGGCTTGGTGGGTGTGGCAGGGGAAGGATACTGCAAAATCCCCATTCCCGCCCCACTCCTGGGGGAAGGATATTGCAAAATCTCCATTCCCATCCCACTCTGGGGCCAGTCAGAGGTGGTATTTGCCGGTTCTCTGAACCACTCAAAATTTCCGCTACCGGTTCTTTAGAACCTGTCAGAACCTGCTGGATTTCAGCCCTGTTCTAACATTCAGTATTTAAGGCCCCTGGAATCTGCAGGGAAGTCAAAATCTGCCAAATGGCACATGCCCTGAACCATTCAAAAGTGCATCTATGTGGCACTCATGTACAAAACCACCAGGGTTTTGGATTATGATCCTGCTCCAATATCTTAAAGATTTTATTCCGTTCCTCCAATGGATGCTCCTATTTGATGCGATTTTAAACTTGATCACGTGGCAGGAAGTCTCACTTTAATGGTCATTTCTGAGAAAACATGATCCAGGAAACCTGCAAGGCAGAGGGTAGGAGTTTACAAATCTCTCTCAGAATTTGTTTTGAGTCTTCATACCCTGATTGGGTTTCCTGGTTTGGGGAAGCAGCTTGGTAGCTCCTGCCACTAACCTGTATCTTAGGGTGCTTCACCTTGTTGTCCACCTGGAGTGCAAAAGAAATGATGCTCTCACAAAAAATCAAAGTGGAAAAATTCTAATAATTTCTATAGTGCCATCTCCTAGGCATGAAGCATAAAAGTGGTACTAGAAGAATCAGCTCTCCTTTCCTCCCACCTTGAAAGACAAATAACACAGAAGGTAAACAAAATCAAAGTTAAAAGCAGAAAAGTCCTTTTAACCTTTAAAATCAGACATTCTATATGGAGCTCCCCAGATTTTCAAAAATACAATAATTTTCAAATTAGTTAAAGAAAAATTGAAAAGAATATGTAATTTTCTCCTACAGAAGGCCAAATCTTCTCCATTGGAGGAATGTGCTGGGGTTTCTTAGTTTGTGTATGTGACGAGTTACATTATAAGTGTAATCTGGAATCTGACATACAAAATACATTCACTACACAAGCTAGGATCAGGTTACATGAATGCACAGCATTGTTTGGCTTGTAGAAATCACTTTTTCCAAGATGAAACCCCTTCCCTTCCATACCAATAATTTCAATGAATTATGTTTTCACTGAAATTAGCATTGAAACCCACACAGACACATTTTATTTGCATGTAAATTTAGAGATGCCTAGTCACATTTATATAATAATCTTGTCCAAGGGAAGAAAATATTTGAAATACAGAAACAGATAATTGCCCTTTTTTCTACCCATGAGCCTGCTAACTACAGACCAAGGAGAGGAATCATATTTAAGAAAGAAAGTAGGATTTGTCTCAAAATTGATAAGAAAGAGGACCAATATGAATAATGAAGCCTGGAGGAGGCTTTCAGTTAACAGCTGGTACTTCCCACGCTGTCTAAATACTGTTCCCATTTTATCATATGCCAGCTCTTCAGAGTGATTTGGGAAGAGTATATTTTAAAAAATATACCCTCCTCTGCTGTTTGTGTGCATCTAGATGGGTACAGAGAGAGAAATCTAGTTTTTCTAGGGTTACTTTTTTCTTTTCCCATCCAAAGGAATCTATAGCATACAATGGAAGTGATCTCCAGAGAGAAACAAGTTTTTAAGATTCTATTATTTTACCTGACACCCTCAAAGTAGGAGTGTTTGTTTCTTGATGTGACTCTTTTTTTGAAAGATTGACATTCATTTTGAAAGCTGCCCAAGTTTCTCTTTGTCTCATACTGAAGAAAATCAAGCAGGGTTATTTTGAGTTCCCCCCCCCTCACTCTTGCTTCAGTCTCCAGATTGTGTAATTTTTGGACTGCAAGTCCTTCCTTAATTATTCCTTCATACCTTCTGCAATATCATTTCTTTCCGGGACTCTGTGTTGGTTGCCAATCAGCTTCAGGTGAAACTTAAAAGTTCTGGTGCTAATTCTAAAGCCCTACATGGTTACCTGCTTTCTCCCTTTGGAATTGGACTGGTCAGTTTGATCTAAATGGGAGAAACTGTTAGTACTGTCCACCCAGGGGAGGTGAAAGGGCCCAAGGCTTGGAGGTGCTGTGTTTTTCCAATAGCAGTTTGATTTTTTTAGAACAGCCTCCTACTGGACATTGGATTGGCTCCCAGTGACTGCTTTTTGGAAGCACCTCAAAATAATCTTTTCTGGAGGGCATTTGGGCCGTAATATTATCTTGCCTGGGTTTGATTGTGTTACATACTTGTATTTTGCATTCAATTTTTAAAATTTTAAATAAAACTTCAAATTGTGAGTATTTTAATGTTGCATTGTTATTGAGCATTTTACATGTGTCTATAAATGTGAATAATATCTCCCTAAGATTCAGACATTTCTTATTCCCCTCAAGAGGCAGACTTGGGAACAATTTTGAGTCTCTAAACAAGCATGTAGAAAGCCAAGATAGCCCTGTTGATCTAGGAGGAGAGAGAAATTCAGAATTACCTGCTGGATAGTACCTTATTAGAATTGCCTATTTTTGCAATTTAGACACTGCTAGAAAATTTATCTGATTCATAACACTCCATGTATAAAAAAAACCCCAATCAAATGTTTTACGCATATGGTAGTTTTTTTAATAAACATTAGAATTATATATTTTTGTACATAATAAGATATATAAGAAGGTGCATCATCAAGTGGGATCCAGTTTCTCCTGCTCTGCAGTGATGGTGGACTCGCTTCTCTCGCTAGATGGCATTACAGGCTTGTCATCAAAGCTTCCATGCAGCATTTCAACACTGGAGTTTGCTGCAATGCTATTCGCAGCAAGAATGGTGCTCTGGGCCAGGTCAAATTGCCAACAAAACAATTGTAAGTTTGTGTAAAAGAGCTCACTCAAAAAAGTACTGATACTTTTAAGATGCTCTTAAATTGGCAAAGAGATTGGTGAATATTTGCTATATGAGAGATCTGTAACAGAAGTTCATTAGTATTGATTTTTTTTTCTCTGATATTTTTATGAATTTGAGATGACAACTGAATTAAGAAATCCGTATTAGAATCTAGAGTCTCTGGAAGTCTAAACCAATCCAGTGATTTGATATAGGCACAGGTGATAGGGTACACAGCTAGGTTGCGATGCAGCATTCAACCTTCCTTGACATGTTTCTAGCTCTTATGCTTGGTGCAGAATGGTTTGGGTATAATTAGGCACAGCTGCTGAAATCTCCAGGGAGAGCTGATTTTCAGCAATCAAGTAGGGGTTGTGCCCCTCCCTTAATGTTTTATGCATAGTCTATTCTATTGATATGCAAACCTAATACACGTACTGCACAGAATTTATATTACCCTGGTGTCTACATTTGATTGTGTGTGTAGGCACAGACTCCAGAAAGTTGCAGAGTTGGGAAAATAATTTCTTTTTTGGAGAAAAAGATATACCAAAGATATAAGTGCTACATAATTTTAGGAAGGTAGTTCATATATCACACTAAGTGTAGTTTGTTGAATAAACACAATAGAGGGCTTCATACATTGTGCTCAGGCAAAACTGAAATATGACCCTTAAGTGTATGGAAATGAAGGTTTCAGCTCTCTTAGCACTTATGTCCAGAGTAGGCAATTTGTTTTGTTTTGTTCTAGAGTGTTAAAAACACTGCATGCCCATGTCAGAGGAGGCTGAATAATCTGGTAGGGGTCGTCAAGGGGCTTCCTATGACCTTTGTTTTCTTCTTTATGATTTGGACTTTGGAAAAGTCCTCATAGTGCTTTTGTGCTAATCTGGCATTGATTCCTACCATGTTATTCCCAGAAGGTTATCCTCTTTGGAGACGAAAGCGGATTTCCTTCCAGCTTAGCGGCACTGTAGCTGAAATCACAAAGCTTCCATTTTGTGATTTGTGATGCTGCAGCTCTGTAGGGCTTGGGAAAAGGCTATTTTTTCCCCCTTTCATGGGAACGGTTGCCTCATCCTCCCTCCCAATGCCTAATTTCTCAGCTTTTGAATAAATTTCACAGCAGCGTTAAAATCAACCTGATCTTAATCATAGTCAAGAAAAAAACTAGGATCCCAGTTTCTTTTTAAACTGTACAGCTTGATTTTCTACACTGATATGAGTAATCTCGGGGCTCAAGGGAGACAGGGATGTCCTACTCCTTGACAAAT